TTTATAAATGTAGGGGTAGTTCTTAGTGTGAAGTCAACATTAGGTCGTTCTGACAAAGGGAGCATAAGCAGCTCCTATTCTCTTCTCCTCATCAGTAGGGTGCTGTTCAGAAGCATTGGAATGCTCCTGTTCCAAGTGTTGCAGGTGTTGGCGCATGCCATCCTGAACAGTCGGACCCATGTTCTCAGGCCCTCCAGAATCGAAGCCCGCCTTGCTTGCACTACATATATAGCTTCGTCGAGTCCCTGCATGGCCCGCGACAACTTCCGATGGTCCCACTCGAGTCCCAAACAGATTCATCTTCATCTAGACTAACTCGTTGTGGAAGTCTTACGTACCCTCAATGAACTGCACACGGAAAACACCTGCAAACGCTACAATTGAGACCCAAACCCTGACACGATCGAATCTGTGAAAAAATCCCTGAAGATATTGCCCTTTGCGGGCTGAAGGATTCCCACAAATTCCACAAGCCCGTGATGTGGAAATGGGGCCCCCAACACAGACCTGTAGTGACCCGCATGTATGTACATTTAGTGGGTTTACGCGGGTCCACAAGAGTCCTATCTGTATGTTGTACATATACAAATATCTTAGATTTTAGAACCCTCGTTCGAGGAAATCGTAAGCAGGCTGGGGCGGGGGGCCTGGTTGTTATAAACCCTCTTCCTGAGAAACTCCGCTAGAACACGTACGAAATGGAGGAATAGATCCCAGCAGTAGCCACCATAATCCATAATTCTACAGTAGTTCCCTTTTTTCCAATCCCTGAGCCCTAAAGCCTACATATCCCCATGACCCCTTTAGATGAACTTCAGGGCCTCAGGTAATCAAGCAGTCTCCATCTTCTTCCACACCCCAAACCCCAAAACCCTAAACCCCTAAACCCCAAACCAAGACCCCCATATACTCCATATTCTATCTACTTAAGGAGGACTATAAACCCTAAGCAGCAGGTTTGGGTCCCCCCGCCGTCGGAGCGTGGTGTGGGCAAGGCTCCAGAGTCACGCCTTCCCCAAAAGATCCATTTGAGCTAGGTAATGTAGACCCATGATTAA